AACAGAGCTTGTCTTTTCTGTACTTAAATTATCATCTTTACACCGTATTTATATAAATATCTACAACTTTGTTGAGTTCAGTAGGTATAGATTTAGTACTTTTCTATGATTTTTGGTATTTTCTTAGTGTATTTGGTTGGCATCTGTTTGGTATCAGTTTCCAAAAATGACTTAAATTGATACCACATATGTATAAATTTTAGATAACATCTTGATTGAATCGCGTTGAGTTAAATCATGAGTTGAGTCATTCCCTGAATCACTGATAATGGGATGAGTCGTGATTGAGTTGAATCACAGGGTCCATGAGTCGTGATTGAATCGCTTGGAAAATCAGACTGTTTGATTGAGTTATGATTGAATCGGTCATTTCATCAAGTGAGTCGTGATTGAATCGATTGAATTTTTTTGAATCGTTTACAAGTCTGGACCCCACAGTTGACCTCTGTGACCCGCAGTCGCAGGCAGCGCCGCCCCGGGAGCGCCGTCCCGACAGCCGGTGACGGACGAGCTGGCCATGTCGGCAGTTTTCGGCCACAGAGGACACTTCCCGGCAGTTCCCGGCCCTGGAGGACACTGCTGACAGCCGGTCCGGTTCGTGCGGCCCCAGATAGTCCAGTGGCTGGGTATTTCAGTGATCATTCACTACAGTGGTGTGACCGTGTCCCTGGATGAACTGTTCCCAGAAAGGGTGATTTGGGAGAGGGGTATGCGGGACTCGACAAACTGCTATATAAAATGTCGCTTTAACTCATATGCGCTTGTCATTAATTTTTCAAGGTATAAACGAACATAACTAAATACCAATTGGCAATTCCTCCACAAGACCTGACCTGCTCCTATCTGTCCAATCCCAGCCGGACTGGCCCGCACCGGACCGCTCCTGTCGGCCCAATCCCGGTCGGGCGGCGCGGCGCGGCAGCCGGCCGGTCGGTCCCCGGCCACTCTGGCGCCGAGCAGCTCCCGTCCCAGGGGACTCCCCGTGCTGCGTGCCTCCGCCGGCCCCGCCCCGGCCCGCCGGCCCCCGGAGACGCCGTCGTCCCTTCCCGTGCTAACGTTGAAAATGAATTCCTCGCGTTGCCATGGCGACGGCGGCCCGCTGGGAAAACAGGGCCGCGCCGCCGTCCCAGCGGAGACGACGGCGCGCCGCTCGAAAATTCAAAACATAATGTAGCTGCGGAGCGAAATGGGAGCTCACCGGCCCAGAGCCGGCGCGAGACCCGCTCCTGCTTCCCCAGCCGCCGCGACCGGGCCCCGAGGCGCCGGTCAAGGTCAGCGTCCGGCCCGTGACATAGGTCAAGGTCAGCGGTCGGCAATGTCAACGCTCCTCAAGACAAGTCGCAGCAATTCATTAGGACTGGCATCTTGTCTTCGGTATACCGACACAGGTGACAGTCTCAAGTCCATACGCCACAAATATCATAAGTAGAAATAAAACATGAGACCAATGTCATCGGACACCAGCACACAAAGAAGGCAAGGTCAGGGAAGTGACGAAACTCATGCAAAACGGCAGAAACATCAGTAAAGAGCAAATGTCCGTTTATCCTGAAGGTGCGCATCCCCCGCACGCCGCGGCCGCGGCAGTCGGGCCGTGCGGTACAGCCTAACTTCAGGCGTCGACTACCAGCGACATCTAGTGACAGAAAAATAAGCAAGTACGGGTCCTCCCGCTCGGCATGGAATGAGGCAGTTGGTGGGGAGGCGAAACTAACGCCCGTGAGCTGAAATGGACCCACGACCACCAGTTGGTCGGACCGCCATTGGTATTGCAATAAAAATGGGAAATAAATGATCAGTTACCAAGGCCGACACCTATTTTAATTCCAACACGAAACGGCACACATGCATCACACCTCTGTTGTGTCCCTTCACTGAGTGTTGCCAGGAGGTGTCTGTCTGTGTCAGCCCCCCCCCCCCCCCCCGGGGAACACCAGCGTCCCATGACCATGACAGACCGCCCCGGGCACAGCGCATGCCAAGCCGGCCGGCGGGGGCTGAGTCGCCACCTTTTCACGTCGGCCGCGCCGCGCGCCTATGCATTTTAATTACGGCAAATTTCTCTAGCGTGCCACTTGGCTGGCGGCGGATCGGAGGAATCTCCGTCCGGGGAGCGCCGTCGCAGGAGACGCATGCCGGGCGGGCACCTTCAGCGCGGTGTTAAGACTAAAGTTGTAATTGGTGGCGGCTCTCGGGAGGCCCGTTGCCGGCCCGAACTGGCCGCCGGGAGCCGGCCGGGCCCGAGCCGCGCTGGCAGCTCGTTATCTCCGACACGTGATACGGGCCGAGCTCGGAGCCGACACCGGAGTGGGGCCCGGAGCGGAGCACAGGGAGGAGCGCGGGGGCCGGTCCCGGCCCCAGGTGAGACTCGGGCAGGGCTGCCCCCCGAGCGGACCCCCGCCCTGCCCTGAGACGGAGGTGGGGGACAGCAGGTGAACACAATAATAGCTCAATCTGGGGTCATCAATCTTCCAGAAAGTTTTACGACGGAGATTTCAGTCATGTCGAAAGTTGATGAAAATAGTCACCTCTGAACCAACAACGAATAAACACTTTGACCAGCTTCGCTTGCGAAATGTCTGAACGCTTACATAACAAAGATTCAACGACTATGGATAACACGAGGTCGTATTAAACCTTTACAACAAAACGAAAATATTAAAAACATACGAACTTTTCCTTGTACACGTGCCCGCGTAAAAAGCTATCACAACGGCATGATGTGTGAATCGGACATGAGTAGTGGTGCCGTCAAGCTGGTGGCGATCTCACTGACAGGCAGACGAGACGAACATCGAGAAGCCTGAAGCAGTCGCTGTTGTCCCAGCAGTCAGCACCCTCTGTTATCCAGCAGTGGTCAGTGACCGATGACTGGTGACCACAAAATCCAGCAGACAATTACAGCAGTGTCGTCTCAGAGCAGACACGGCACGGCAAGACAGCGCCACAGCTAAGAGGGGAGTGCAAAATCACTCCACCGGGTCCTCCCGTCTCGTATGAAAGACGGCACCCGCAGGGAAGGGCCACCCGTCTGACGCACGGCACCCACAGGGGAAGTAACGGACGTCTGAGGGACGGCCACGGCACCCACAGGGAAAGTAACGGTCGCGGTCGAGTCGTCGGTATCGTTGGACCGCGGTCCCGTCCACTCTGAGCGGACCGACTGGTAGGAAGCCAAAGATGTCGGGGGTTCATTTCGCCTCTGTAGCTGCAGTACTCGACTGTCTGATGTATCCAGGGAGCTGTCGTCACCGATGCCCCCGCGCCGATCGTCCCTGTGACCGGCGATCGCCGCCGGTGAGCCGGCGACACCTGGGGTGGCGCCGCGCCGCCTGACCCCGGGGGCGGCCAACGGGTGGCGTCAGGGGCGCGACCTTTATCGGGTCATTCCATTAGCGGCCGAAGACGGCGGCGGCGGCGGATCCATCAGCCGGCAGCTCGGTTTATTTGAGCGCACCCGCTTTATGGCCGCATCCCGACGGCTGAGGCGAATTTAATTTCTCCTCCGGTGGAAGTGGTCATTTCTTGAAGGCCGCCGCTCCGGCGAGGCTGGGCACGAGCGCCGCGGGGGTTCGGCACATTTCAGCGCGGCCCCCCGGGTGCACTCGGTCGAAAGTAGAAAATTACGGCCGCGCCCGGGCAGCTATAATTCTGGCTCCCGGCGGAGGCGTCGCGAACAACGAGAGCGGCGCTGGCGGCGCACAGCGGCCCCGGTCCCGGCCCGCCGCCACGACGCCCCGGGGAGCCGCCGGCGCCGACAACAGCGCCGCGCCGAGCCGCCGGCCGCCCCGGCGTACCGCTCCGAGCGGCCAGCCGCCCACAGCTACTGCCGGGAGGTACCGGCCGCCCAGGCGTACCGCTCCGAGGTACCGGCCGCACAGGCGTACCGCTCCGGGGTACCGGCCGCCCCGGCGTACCGCTCCGAGCGGCCGGCCGCCCACAGCTACTGCCGGGAGGTACCGGCCGTCCAGGCGTACCGTACCGTACTCCCTTGAAAGTAGCGGTGCCGCTCCAAGGGAACAGCCCGCATGAGAAAAGTTGCCTGTCCGGCCCGGACTGGGGGCTACGGCGTAGACGAGATGGATCATTGAACGTCCTGAGGATGGAAATGATGGACGGGTGTAAACAGGCCACTTTAGCTCATAAAAGATAGCCAAATACGGATGAACTTTAAACGCCATGATCAGTCATGCGGGCGGAGCCACTACCTAAATAAAATTGTTTCGAATGCACAAACTATGAGGATTGATGTTATCGTTGCTTGTTGACACGAATCATTACGAGAGGAAAAAAAAACACTTCAGAAGTCTCTTGACAACTATGGTAAAGGATGAAGACTACAACACATCCCTCCTCCTGCGTCTCAGGGCGGCGACACTAGCGCTGCGGTGCGGAGCCGGCCGGCACTAGCCGCTCTCGGGCGGCCCGCTCGGCTAATGCTCGCTCACGGCGCCCTCGGGAACCGGCCGACCCACCGCGGACAAAACATATTTTGTTTCGCCAAGGTGTGTAAATACTGGTCGTCCGAGTCCCCCGAGAGGCAAAAACTGCCGACGGAGGCAGTGTTTGCCGGTGCCGGCCGGCGGTCCAAATGGCCCCCCGATGACCGCCGTGCTGCTCCGGGGCGGCCGGCGCGCGCGCACACTGCGCCCCGACCGACACCCGGGGGACGCCGGCACTGAGGCCATTCCGGCGAATATTATGACCAGCGCGAGCACTTTGTGGCGGATACGCTGCGCACTGGCCCATCTAGAGCTGCAACAAGTGCTCCTCGGGGACCACTGGCTCAAAAAAGACGAACGCGGAGCCTCATCGCAAAAGTTGGCGGAATATATTGCGCCAATTGCGAAAGTTGCAAACTCCAAAAATCTTTTAAAGGTCAGATAAATAAAAGCAATGCTAATTAGGTGTGGAAATTAGCTATTACAGAAGACAAGCTGGTTGCTCACAGTCACGACGTCTCCATATAACAGTGAATATTCGCTGAGCGCTGGACTTACCGTCTGAGCCTGGCCCGGGACATTCTGAGGTCAGATGTTGGGAGACCTCGTCGGCAGACACCAGCTGCTGACAGCACCACCGGCAGCTGACTGCGTTCACACCTAAAAAAAGAACAGATACTGTGAGAAGGGAACACTCGACTTCACCTGAACTTGGGCAACGGTAAAAGGGAAGGTAATGCTAAAAGCTAGTCGTGAGTAAACACTCAAAAAGTTTGCACGTCAAAAAATCTGCGGATGTTCTGATGTCGAAGGATTCGAACCAAGGAATTAATTAATACCTGCTGCACAGCCTCCCATTCCGCTGGACGGTGGATTACCCCGTCCGTCAGACCTGGCCTGACACCTGGCGGCGGCTGGCGTCATTACACCGCCACCTAGCGGCCGATACCACAGTCCCGGGATCACACGGAGAAAAGGCACTCAGCGCATAGCGCAATGAAATGATCATGAAAAGAGCTTACATCAAGTTTCGTTTTTCTCCTCCGACGGAAAAAAGGAGAATATGGCCGCGGGCGGCTAGGAAGTGATGTGCCGAGACAGGCTAGGGTCTTACATTCGGCTTATAATGCCGAGCTGCCTCAGATAAAGCACGCCTAATCCCAATCAATTATCATTCATTTAGCTCGATGACAGGTTTGTGAGCTTTAAAGTGAAAAATATCGAAGACCTCACAAAGTACTTACGAGCTGATAAGATCAGGTCAAGTTTGTTATATCTAAACATGGCATGACTTGCCTGCATTTCATAAAATAACACCTTGCCTAGCGAGACGAGCCCAGGAACAGATATATACCAACACTTGTAAGCACTAAGCAGGTTAATGCACGCCACGATGTCAAGGCCCAGCACCAGTACTCTACAGTCCCAGAACCAGAAGCCTCTGTGACCATCGAACGACCTCAAGACGTCTCACATGCAGACACTTTCCTTTATAACAGCTAAACTTGGGATTTCAGCGGAAGAGCTCGGCATAGCTGCACAGACTATACAACACCAACACTGCGGAAATTTGTCTGCAGTTCTGGTCTCACTAGTGTTTATGACCAGCCGTCTCGCCCTGTTCCCCATTACCGCTCGTATATATTCAAGAACATTTCAACTTTCCCAGTTTTGCACAGACTGTTCGTCGGCCTGAGTCCCCGAGTTTCGTATGTCCCTCGAGAAAATCCCTGGTTGATGCTCCAGGTTCCCTCACCTTCCACAACATTATAAAGTCACATCAACGGGCACCAGAGGCAGATGATGGAATTAAGTCGCCTTAGAAATCGGAGTTAAAGAAACACTCGGTCTGCATAATCGGACCCGATGCTGTAGAGTGTAGATGAATTATAAGATGCCTCTGAAAATGCGTTCATATTCTTGGAATGGATCGTGAAATACTCACTTAGTTTTTCATATTTGGAAGCCACCCTACCCGAGGACCTTTCAATATTTTCCGAGTTTTGGTATTGTGTTATAACCCGCGCCCCGCTGAGGGGGGGGGGCAGAATCTGCCCCCCTCCCGTTTTTCGCCAATAACTTCTAAACGCGTTACGCCAGCGACGTCAAACTTTCAGTACCTTATCATACATCAATTTGACACGTTCCCTGAAAATTTGAGCGAAATCCATCGGATTTTTTTTTGAGAAATTGACGTTTTAGTGACGTCATGTTCGCCATTTTCGCCTCAAAAACGGCAAAATTTCAAACGCCGCTAACATCTTCATTTTTAAAGGAATCAAGACGTCACAAAAAAGGTTATACGTGATTCTTCTTTGTCTATCAAATGACTATCTCGGATTTTTGAAAATTTTGGATTTTGGCCCAAATTATTTCAAAAAACTGACTTTTTTGGGAAAATAATCATAAAATCCAAAATTTTGAGTGTATCGAAAAAACCGGAATATATGTCAGAGAAGTGGTCTATGTGCACCTACATACCAATTTTTAAAAGAATCGGTTCAAAAATGTGGGAGTTATTCAAAATTTTATGACGTCACGACACACAAAAATTTTGAAAAAAAAAATGATTTTTTTTGGAAGTTCTAGACCTCGTACGGAAACAAAAATAGCACCATTCGATTTGCCGTGACAAACTGCATCAGATAGATACCTTTTTAGGCCTAAACAACCAACTTCAAAATTTGACCTCACTTGACCTGACCTGGACCTGACCTCGACCTGAAATTCATCCAGAGGTGGTCCATATCCAGAGGTGGTCCATATCACTAATTGAGTGTGTCTATTGAATTCTATGAGTAAAATGACCCATAAAACATGTGTCGCACATGCCCTTTTCTATATTTTGTTTTTGGTGACCTGACCTGACCTGACCTTGACCTTGACCTTTGAATGACATTGTATGCAACGAATATTGTCTTGGTAGTCTAAGAACACGTTTTGGGCAATCAACTCAGTCCATTCTTCGGCAACTACGGTGCAAGGCCGATACTGTAGAAACTTGCATTTTGTACCCTTGACCTGACCTTGACCTGACCTCTGACCTACTTAACCAAAAAATTTGGGCTCTTAAGATCCGCTTTGTTGAGAGCTTTCGATTGCCGTTTTCCCCGTCTTTCTACCACCACCGGTTCGGAAGTTAGACGGGGGGCAGAATCTGCCCCCCCCCCCCCCCCAGCAGGGCGCGTATGGCTGAATAGCCCAGCGGGGCGCGGGTTAAGCTCAACGCCCATTTTCAAATTGTAAGCACAGGGCAGATCAGAATTAGGAATAAAACTCCAAATTCGAAGCTGGCTCGGATTTTATTTCATAATAACGGCGTCAGGTCAAGAATCAATATCATTACATGGACCATGCTTACCGCCAACACTGCCTTCAGCCCCGTTAGAATTCCGCCTGGGGCCTACGGAATCACGGATGCAGGCACGGAGCCCAGCTGGACCCGGGCACCGGAAGGCGGCCGCTTCAGCAGGGGGTGGGGAGAGCACAGAGAGGACAGAGCACGGAGAGCTGGGCAGAGCGCGGGAGGTGCATTATGCATGAGGCGCCCCGTCCGGGACCGCGCCTCCGCCGGGCCAGAGGTTACGGCAGAAATCTGCCCGCGCCACACCCCTTCTCTCCTCGTTCCCACACCCGTCCCCAGGCTCAAACTGTCACAGACTTTCCCGCTATGGCTTCATTTAGTGGGAAGTGCTCATTTGGTCCAACAAGCCAATGCAGCACCACTGGAGATAAGAAAACGGTAGAAGTAGGCCAAACGCCTAAGCCAACAGCTGCCCAGCGGTATGTAACGGTAGTGATTTTATGGTCAGCCATCCGCGGACAGCCTCCCTGAAGGTTACCCCAGTAAAGGGCTCACCCCGGGGCTCATCGGGGGCGAGGGGCGGCCTCATCGGGAGTAACGATCATTGACATCCGAAACACGGAAGCCAGCGACTGTGCGACCGGAAAATCGGAGTGGTAAGGGACAGGGGCGGGATAGAACGGGATAGTAATTGTACTTTATTTTCCTGAACATGATTTGACAATTGACCGCGTTACAAAGATGGCCTGGCATCTTCAATAATAAGCTGCGATGGCTTATTTTTGATAACCATAACAAATTTAGCAGTAAATACATCAAGCAATTATATCGAGCGCATTTACGCTCGTCCAGCTTTACTACGGCCAAAATGGCGAGATCAACTCATTTGAAGGTATCGACATATTTGTGTCGGGTTACCAAATACCTGGGACACGGAGAATGCCGCCGCGCTCCGTTACCGCCCCAGTTACAGGGCAGTACCGGTCAGCCGGTCGGCGGGGAGGGCAGACGGAGTGGCGCCGCAGCTGTCCGTTCGTCCTCTCCGGCCCGCCGAGACGCCGCCGACGCCGGATTATTAATCCGGAGCGGCGCGGCCGCCCGTGGGCGCCCGGGCGCCGCTCCCCGGGGGGCGCCCGGACCGGGCGGCGCGGCGCCCCGCGGCGCGCGCCGGGGCGCCGCCGGCCTCCCGCCGGAGCCGGCGGGGGGCGCCAGTCGCCGGCGCCCCGGCCGCCCGCCCCCCGCCGCGGCCCGCCTGATGACTCAATCAGCTGGCCCCGCCCGGCCTGCGCGCCGCCAGGACGGACAGAGATGTGGAGAATGAGACCAGATTTACCAAACTGAGACCCGCCCGAGCCACTACATATGACTCCGATATCAGCAGGGGCGTGAAACAGGAGCGGTCCATTCGACAAAACCTACTTATATCCAAAACACTTAAAGGGACCCTCCCACCTTCAAAAAAGTTAATGAATTGACATGAAAGTGATGTCGCTCGGTTCAGCAAGAGCAAAAACGAATATCTACCAAATTTCATCGAAAAATCTTCACCGGTTTTCAAGATATTAGACTTTTACTTTTGTTTACTTTTTGGGATCTCCGCTGTTCCTAGTGACTTTATTTGAAAGTGCGGCATATGTTGCGCGCTTAGCAGCATATACCACCGCGTGCTACCAAACGTTTTAGTCAAACATTTAAAAATCGTTAGATATCTGCGCTGACGTCACACATTCAGAGGGGTATTCCTATGCATAAGCCCCTCTGAATCAAAATGTTGCAATTTTGAAATTCAATATTTCCGATTTAAGGCATTTCTCGATGTTGTGAGTGCCGAAACCGGTAATTGTGAGCCAGGGACCCCATTTTGGCTATCTCAACTCAAATCTAATGTTAAGGTGGGAGGGTCCCTTTAACGGTGAACATTACGTCAGCTCACACGTATGTATTGATACTCTGAAGTCCAAGCTACCAATTCCTCGTCCTGACCCTGCACAACAATTCATGCCGAAAGCGCCAAGCGGGATACATTCACTGATGACGAGTTCAATGGTCCATTTCGGCTGTTACCATCGGGGCTGCAGCTGAGAGGGCGCTGTCCAATTCGATATAACTCGTAACTCGGCTAACTCGGTCACCCCCAGTTGGAACCCGGTTAGCGTCAGTTAGCCGGCTGACCGGTCGGACACAGCCACTTCCGCCGGCTATAGATCTGCTGAAGGTAATGAGGCACTGCATAGGTAAATCATTTGCTTTGATAGGTAATTGGCAAAACATGGCGCAGAACAGGTAGGCATTGCAATAAATACTTGGAAAGGTATCAGCGGCAGTATCTAACCAGTTAACCTTTTCCACAGCACTC